TCCATAGCAAAGGGGAAATGGGAAAGAATTCTCACCACCCATCTTTTGGCAAACAATTTAGCAGTTAAATGTAACCAGCTGGTCTCCCCAGGCTCCCTCTGTAGTCGAGGGAGGGAAAGCAAAGCTCCTGCAGAGGGTCATTCAGTGCACCCAAATTATACTTACTCTGAATTGTCCTCTCTCTCGTCCGTGACTAGAGAAGGAGTTTGAAGAGACTACTCTGGTAATTTAGCCAGCTAAGATGGGTGGTCTGAATAATTCCTTCCCCACCAACCTCTAAAAGCCTGCCTAGGTACCCCACAGAGATTGGCATGCCGTTGGAGGGATCGATTCCCAAGCACATCAGCAGTTCTGTGATCTGTGTTCATGCCTGCTCTAGGGAAAGTTGGGATGCCCAAGCAGTTTACCTGATTATGTTGGACCCTGTAGCTCCCAGCCAGCACAGGGAGCTGACCTGAGCCACACTGTCAGATGGTGCTGTTGGAGTGGGTGTGGTGATGGTCAGGTTTTGGGGATTTTTTTCCCTACCCGTCAGACTGCATTTGCTGTCCACAAGCTTGGCCAGAGGCCACTGAGATGGGAGTAGCTGCAGGACAGCCTGGCCCTCAGATGTGTTTTATGGCGAATTGAAAGTGGCTCCTGTGCTGCACAGACAGGACACCCAGCAGACTCCTGCCTCCTTTCCAACAAATGAGTCTGGTCCCTTCTTGTGGGACCTCCTCTTCCTCATTCTTGCTTGTACAGAGCAAGGGAGAGGAGCTTGCTCTCGAAAAGGAAAGTAAGTCACAGAGGTATGGTGCACCTCCAAAATGAGGGAGAGACATGCAACAGCCAAAGCATTACTGATCCTTGCAACCAAAGGCAATACCCTAATGATGGCACAACTGTCCATGTGGCCAAGTAACAGGTAAAAGTAGAGGATTAACCCGACTCACCTGCAGACAGTGTTGCTGGTGGGGTGAGGAGGAGCCCTGAAAACCACTCAGCTTTACTGCAAGCAGGCAATTACCACCATTTTCCATGCCACATAGCCACCTGTGTCTTCCCCGTCTGCCTGATCCCCCTGCAGCCTTGTGCCTGCCCTGGTTACCCGCAGGCAGGAGGAGATAGACAGGGGGGCCTCCTAGGTCGCTGCCCTGCCTGGCAGGAGAGGTGGGGAAGGAGTGACAGACAGCATGCTTTTCCAGGCTCTTCTGCCTGCTCCTAAGCCAGCTCTGAGAGCTGCTTCTGTGTTCCCAAGCACACTCAGCTGGAGGATACACAGTAAAGCTAAAAGGCCATCACTTCCCAGTCTAAATATTGCGTCACCAGAGTGAAAATATGCATTTTGGAGAGAACCAACTTCAGGATGAGCAAAAGCTTTTGCACAAAGAAACCAGGAAATGTTCCCTATCACTTTTCCTAAGAGCCAGAGCCATCCAAGTAACTAAGATGTTAATGCAACAAAGATTTTCATTTGCAGGATTAAATTGTGCTCTCTTTTTCTTTTTGTCTGAAAGTGAGCTGCATCTTTGTACTACCACTAAATCATCATTTTTCCATGCTTGACCAGCAAAGAATCTGACCTGGGCAGCTGTTTAACTTGCTGCTCATCAAAGACCAGCAAAGTCTGGCTCTCAACTGTTTGAACAGTAGAACAGTCTTTTTACAGCCAGCCTTATTAAAGCACAGGATTTTATTAGCTGTTTTGTGGTAATAAGGTGAAGGACAATGCTGTGGAATGCTCCTTCAGGAGATTTGGGAACTTGTATACTTTGGGGTTTACTTTCCTCTTTTGGACTACGGTGCCTAGCAACCAACTAATACGACAGCTTCATTGTAATATTCTCTCCTTAAAGCTACCACTGATAACCAATTTTTCACACAGGTAAATTATTGCTTGAAGAACTATAAGAGAAATATACTATTGCCTAGTTGTTCTCCCTTTTTTTTTTTTTTTTTAAATAAAAAGCCATTGCAGATTTTCAGGTACTTGGAAAAACTCCAGATATAAGGTGAAAAAAAATCCACTTTGGCCACACACATATACAACAATGTTGTATATTCAAAACATTGAAGCTAATGTGGTTTTTCTCTTTTTCAATTTTCTTTAAAGTTCTGGTAATTTTCTCACAACAACATTTTTAACAGATTGTAAATGTTCCTTTTTCCTGAAAACCACTTTTGGGCACATAAAGTTTCAATTAACATTTGAGAATACTTGCCAAGAAGTTTTCATGAACATTTAAACAAATACGTCTGCATTATTTTGCAAAAGAACAAAGTATTCTGACAAATTTCAGCAATTTCCCATCATCTTTTGTTTCATAACTCTAATGGGAAACAAAGAACAGCAAAGCTTCCAAATCATTGATGAGCTTTAATGAGAACTGTGTTACTTTGGACTATTAATGCCAAAATAAAGATTGAAACACAGGGGTTTGTATCTGGGATGGACTGTGAAAGGCTTTTGGGGAATGAAAGATACATGTCTCTGAAACCCACTGGCTAACACCTTTACAGTCACCACCAGAAAAATCTATTGATGTTTTATATCAATAATTTCCTTCTGATTACAGTATTTTCTTAGTCAAGTATATTCACGTGTTTTGGAGGAAAAATGAAGGCGTGTATTTATATATATATGAAATAACAACATTTGATTAATTACAGAACAGCTCACACCATGTGGAATGAAATGCATTAGTCAAGTATATCTGTGATGACTGTCAGAACTACTGCTAGCAGAGGCAGCAAACCTGTCATCACTCCCCAAGCTTGAGCCTACCAGGTATTAGAACGTTGCAGGCTGCAGCAGAACCGCATGGTCACATCAGACAGGAACTTCAAACATTCGCTGAAATGCAGACGTGGCCCCTCTGGGTTCTGTTGGGGAGGGAAGAGATAGCATTCCCCAAACTGGTCAGGCTCACTGCCCAATTTGTCAGTTTAAATAAGTTCAGTTGCCCAAGCCTCTGATTTTGGAGGTGCAGCTTTGAAAATAAAACTCAGGAGCAAATCCTAATTTCACAGTAAACAAAGAATTCCAGGGAGCTTTTTTTTTTTTTTTTTTAAAAAAAAAGAACCAAACCTAAATACTCACTTTACTTTTCTCCAGACTCCCACCCAAGAGAAATCTTAACACGTGCATGGTTACTTTGAAAACATCATAGAGCACACAAGGAAGCAGATGCACTGTGTTGGAAGAACATTGTCCCAAGATTTTCCCAGATCTCCAGCTGGTGCAGTTAAGGATGGACCTATGTTATATTTCAAAGATAAGCCAAAAATCTTGCAGGACCCCTTCCACAAGCTTTCATCTTAGAATAAGAGATGCTTTGGGATAGTGGACTAGTGGAAGTTATTAATTTAACTAGATCAACCTGATCTCCTACTACAGACAACCCAATTAGGAAAATCTCTCAAGCTAGAAGATTCAGGCAGAACCTTCTATGCTTGGTCTTCATTTTTTTTCTTTTTAATTGGAGCAGCATCTCATGTCTGTAAAACCTACTACGAGCATGTATTTTCCAAGATAAACTAAACAGAAGAACTGTTTATTGTGGCTATTGTTGCCCTGTTCTAATTGGCAGGAGCCAGACCACAAAAGCCTCATGGTATACCATTTGTAATGAGGTCCCTGGAGCCATTATTGTTTTATTAATCTCTTTAGCCAGCTAATTGTAGGAGCATATTCTGCAACTTGTAAAGCAACAAATTGAGATTTTGCTCTTTTTCATGCTCTGTACTCACCCCTCTATAGCAACCCTGTTACTGAAATAACTGCTTCTCCAGCTCCAAGAAACAGTCTCAGCTGATATCAAGACAGGACTCAATTCCTCATTAACAGAGCTAGTTAAGTTTTGCTCCTCGGGGAGGGTTCATAAATTCTCTGCACCTGCAATGCATTTAATACTTGCCTGTGCTGGACTCGAGTAGTCAGTGGATGATACTAAACCCAGAATTACATTTTTGAGATGCAACTTAGCATATTTCTTACTCCTGGACAACTCCTCCCTCCCCCTTTTGTTTTCATACATAATGATTACAGCATCACCAATGCACTGATGGGTTTTGCTTTAGCTATTGCTGTGTGAGAGTAGCTTTTCGCCCTATACAAATTGTGATGCTCCATGTAGATGCAGCAGACAATGTAGCCTAAGTCAAGTCATAACCCAAAACATCGACGATTTTAACATTCAGGAATGTCCTAGCATACAGCAACGTATACAATTAATGTCCCTAAGTTCTCCTGTTGTTTTGTTTTGTTTTTAAAAAAAGCCTTGCTATGATGGCTGGGCAGTGTCCAGTATTTCTTTTTAGTCCTTTCAGAACACTAAGGCAATCTGTGGAAGCTCCTCACATGGGAAACCACAGCATGACTTCACACCAAGTTCTCCCTTTACAAGGTCTTTGAACACCAGTTTCCTTAGTTCAGGGAACAAGTGTCAAGTCATAGGAAGAAAAAGACAAACTGGAGAACCGTCACCAACCACTGAAAGGTTCTGAAAAAAAAAAAAAAAAAAGGAGTTACAAACTAGGACATGAATTATTCTTCATGTAATTCATGCAGGAGAAACACACAGAAAAAGAAACCAAGCAGGTAAAGAGGCAACAGCAGCAGTGCAGCACGCCTAAAACTTTAATCTTTGTTTTTAAAGAGTACAGAGTTGAAATTGACACTTTCTTCCTTCCCACCTTCCCATTCTCTATCCCATTGCTTTCTAAATTCTCCCTAAAAGGAAACAATTCTCCCTTAGTTTGGCTTCCCTTCAGGTGAGGCACACCCATTAATCTCCAAACGTAGGCCCCAATTCAGTAAAACACTTGTATATGCACTTCACAGAATCACAGAATTGTCTAGGTTGGAAAAGATCTTGAAGATGATCCAGTCCAACCATTGACCTAACATTGACAGTTCCCAACTACCCCAGATCCCTCAGTGCTAAGTCAACCTTACTCTTAAACCCCTCCAGGGACAGGGACTCCACCACCTCCTGGGCAGCCCATTCCAACGCCTAACTTTAGTCCACTCCCATTCACAGCTACATTTAAGTGTATACACTTGAATGCTGTTTTGAATAGGGGCGTTTTTACTTAACCAAAGATTGAGGTGGGGGATATTTGTGTGGTCTTAACAGGGAAGGGAGGGAGGACATACAATATAAATCATCTTGTTCCCAATTTAGAGGTAATTTTAGCAGCAGTCAGTGACTGACACATTGGTAAAATCTTAAGCAGCAGCTTAACCACAGAAGTGTGTAGCAGTAAGAAATCCAATGACATTTTAAAAAATGGTAGCTCTGAAATCACTGCTGAATGCCACTTAAAGCAGCTTCACAAGGTCAGTCAGATTTCTCAATTTAAACACCCTCTGCTCCTAATTCTATTAAGCAAATGTGCTTATTTAATTACAATTATATAAAGGGAGAGACTGGTAAGACAATACAAAAAAATTATCAAGAATGGGAAAACCTACTGATTTCAGAAAACAGGATTCTGGAAAACTAAAACGTTTGTATTTTATTTTACACTGTAGGCTTTCACTTTTTATCCCTTTGAAATACATTTAGTTTTAAATTAATAAAGATCATAAACTAATAAATTGGTATGTTCTTTAGACAGACGTAATAAAAATTCAGACATTACACCACAGGACCTATCATTTAAATATCCCAATAATAGAACAGTTAAAGTGATGCTGGCTAATGGGAGGATAAAATGCCTAGATAAAAGATGTTTTTGCTCTAAGGAAAAGTGTGGATTAGAGGAGAATTGAGAGTGAAGCAGGTGATGCTTTAGTCTGAATCTGAACTGTCTTGCTTGTTGGTATGGTACTGGCTGACTGCCTCTTCCAAAGGAGCCATTGTACCATCCGGACGCAGTCCCATTGGTTTTATAAGCTCATCTCTGTAAGACATTTAAAAAAAGAATATATATTAGCATATGCACACATATCAATTCACATGTGTATAATACAGTCACATACAGTATATGCTTTAGTACATAATGAGCCTTTAAAAGGAAGTTATTTCTGCTAAAGCTCTCTGTTTTGAAGAAAGAGGAACAAAAAACCTTCCAAAATAGGTGGGAGGGGAAGAGCAGGACAGATAAAGACTTCATTCATGTAGGCCAAACCTACTTAGCCAATTAAAGACACCATGAAAAGTCAGTGCCTAATAGGCTCAAGACAAGGAGCAGGTTCACTGTTTTAGATACACAAACTAGCTTTTCTTCTAAGCGTTCTCCGACAGCCATTTTTTCCTCAAATTTCACCTGCCATTCTGGCCAATATATGCCCACGCAATTACAACAATGATTTGATACACATTCATCTTGTTGAAGTAAATAACTCAGTTACAAGAACAGACTCTGCCTATACCACTACTAGGGGTGTGTAAGTACTTGTTGATTCATTTAAAAAAAGCTGACTGATTGTAATACTATTGCTTTTGTTTGTGGCAGTTTAATTACAGGATTGACAGCCATTTTAATCTCTTCAAAGCTCCAAAGGCCTCTCAGCAGCTAATCCAATTATATCTACTCCACAAGCTACAGCCTCATCTAAGAGATGATTAATTATTGATTAAGACAATCAAAAAGTATTAGCAAAGATTTATTTAATCCTTACTTTTTATCACCTCATTTATATGTGGATTATGGCAAAAGCTGTAAGGGCAAAGATAACATTTTGATCTTCTGCTGAAAAAAAATAACGGAGAATAAACTCTAAATATTCAGGAGTCACCTTAAATAAAGGAGTGGAGGCTTGATGTCAATTTACCCCTTGCCTGAAAGGCAGGCCGGTAAAACTGTCAATTCAACACACATATACCACTCTTCTGAGCCACAGACAATAAAACTCCATCACTCAATGGGGAAGAAAAGACATTTCACCAGCTCTCAGCCTGACCTGCACTACTAACTTGGCAGAAAAAAGGGACAGAAATTCCTTGTACACAGCTGGCAACCTAACCTTAACACAACCATAGGAACAGAAGAAAAGCAACACCTGAATTACACGGCATTTGTATGCTAGATATTGTACAGTCAAGCAGCAGTTAAATTAAGTCTCCAAGTGTACTTTTTGCTCAGGAAGAGCAGAAACCAGCAAGAGACACTCAGCTGTTTGTGCAGATGTGGCAATCAAGATAATACAGTGATAAACTCACAAATCCCATTGCCTGCAGCATTTCAAAAGATGAGAAACTGGACCTGTGGTTTGGCTAAGCAGGTCTGGGTGGAGAGCTGAGGGCCAGGAAAGGAGGTTTGCAATGACCATACTCAAAGAGCACAGGCCAGACTGCCTGTGTGTGTGTGTGTGTAACAGTGAAATCTATCTTTAAATAGACTGGAGATAGCTTGCTATACCTGAGGACTGACAGCAAGTCCTCTTCCTTCAGGCAATGGGATCTGCAGTATGCAGATTCTGCCCAAATAAGAGCACTCCAAAGTTTTCAAGTATCTGCTGGAGATGTGTGCGAGATCAAAAAAATACTTGAAATCAGAATCAAAAGGGCTCAAAAAATTAAGACCGCAGATCTAGCACCCAAACAGACCAAAACCCTGCCTGTCTGCTGTAGGGGTCCCCCAAAGGGAAAGCCACAGTACTCTGTCTGGAGCTGTGTCTAATAGCAAAGACTTTTTTCACAGGAAAAACCCTATACATCTAAGGCCTTTTTGGCTTTTAAACTTTCAACACCATAATGCAAAACAAGTGTCCTTTGAAATCTGTAATCAATCTTGCAACAATTCTTCAGTGCCACTTACCCAAGTTCAAGCCTCAGAAGTGATCTATTACACTTATTTTTGGAGAACAATAACCTGAAAAAAGCCCTTGCTCATATTTTTTGAGTCCTAAGAGTAATAACATAGCCACAAAGAACAAAATCACCTTTGCTTGCCTTCTAAGCTGAGAGGATCCTAGATTTTTGTTTTAAAAACCACAACAGATACTCTTGGGTTGCAACATTTAACACTGCAGCCAGAAGTCATAGAAACACATCATTTACTAGTCATTTACAATTTATTATTGGTAATAAATAAATTATAACGGCTAGTAAAGGATAAAGAAACAGTTCAAGAAAAAGGAAAGAAATACAGCCAAACAAGGCCTTAAGGTCCCCTTATGTGGGGACCTCTCTCTCTTCACATAAGGATGCTTATAAGATATCTGTAAATATTGTTATGAAGTCCTATATCATCATTTGTCATGTATAAAGACAGCTCTTTCTCTGCAACTTCCCTTTCGTGCTTCACTTTTACATCCAGTTACACACACTCCTGAACTTGACACAAACTTTTTCCTCACTCAGCGAGTCTGAACACCAGATGCAATACACAAGACACATCCATATGCGCAAGTCCTGGTCTGTGGTTTTTATGGGGGTCTTTTGGGGATAAATGCACTGAGTTTTGCATGACAACTTAATGCAGAAGTCTGAGTCACTGATGTGCAGTTGTGTCTTCTTTTGTGATGCTCCAAAGCCTGTTTCTCAGCTCACTGTACTCATTTCAAAGTGCAGCATTATGAAGTGAGCTGTACTGCATGTGAAGTTAATCCCAATGCACTTCCCTCCTCTCTGGGCTTTAACCACCAGCTAGGCTGATCTTGCATTTCACAGAACAACAAGGATGCTTATCAATCCCCTTTCTGTTCAGGCATGAGCTTCCTGCTTTACAAGTCCTTGAACAGGATGAATGACGGTTGTTAAAAGTTTGCTGTTCTTTCTCCATGTTTGGAGGCTGAACTCCATACACCATTCCTGAAACAAATGTTACCCAGTGAAACTGAAATGTATGAAGACAGAAATACTCTAGGCCACCAAGAGGTAGGAGGAGAAGCAGGGATCAGCCTATTTTTTCCCTTATTATAATCTAGTCCTAAAATGGTGTTAAAACATGGCATCCTTTCACCAGTGAAGACTCAACTGCAAACTCTCAACACCACACAAGCTTACTCCTGTTTTTCAAACAGGAAAAATACAGGAGGCAGATGAGAATATCTGGGCTGCCTACAAAGCTAGCTTCAGAAGTTTGGAACAACTATCTGGTAAGTAAAGGTGTTTTGGGTAGGATTGCAAGAGGCATCACTGCCTGGAGACCTCAATTGAGCTTTGACAGCCTGGGGTAGCTGTGGATGTGCTTGCTGTTTAAAGTGAGATATGAGGTGGCAAGGGAAGCACCAGAAACTGGTACATATAGCCTCAGAAGATAGGTCACTATGCAGAATCTGGATGTTTATGGTACATTTATAGGGCAGAAGAGAGATTGCTTCAGCCCAGTAGGTGGCAGCGGGAATATTTCTGTATCTATGAGGGTATATACATGTACACAATGTGGGTATTTATACATATTTGAACATCCTTATGTGACCTCCCATATACTCAAATACACCTTCTTGCCACATTCATTTTTCAAATGCAAACAAAGCATTCTATTCAAGTGTACTTAGAAACACACCATAATTAAACAGTTGGTAAAATGCATTCTCTTCTTCCACTTTCAGATCTCCCAAGAGTCCCTTCGAATGTATCTATACAAGTTCTAGCTTCCTGCTTGCCATTTAGCTTGATAACGACTCAAAAATCATTCCCTTGTTTTGAAGGGTAACTCTTTCTTGGCTGCTCTATGTGCTATAGGGCAGTATTGACACATGGAATTAATGACGGTGTCTGTAATGAAACAGCCATCATGTAAACACCAGTCTGCTCCTTTGATAAAATGGCATGTTAGAGACCTATTCACCTCCTTATAATTGAGTACTACATAATAATTCCAATCCTTTCATGTAACATTATTTTGTTCTATGATTAGAAAGGGGAGGAAAAAAAAATAATCTATATAACATTGCCTTCTTCATTCATCCAATGATTAATTTTGTGTTTTTAATGAGTATGGTTGCTTATTTAGACAGGTTCTCTTACATACTTGTTTTGTTGACTTCTGTTCAATGTACAACAAAACCAAGCTGTGATAATTGGAGACCATTTCATCAGCAAAAGGATTCTTGCTATTAATACAAGGTTGGCTTGGAAAAAGCATCCTGACATTTTAAATTAGTCAATTAATATACAATTCTACCTATCATTTATAATAGAAAAAATGTTAGCATTTTTTCCAGTAATTTTTAATTAACTCTGAGTATATCCAATAATCTATTATATAAACAGACAGAATATGACAACACTGATTTAAAGTGGCTAACTTGGTATTTTGCAAAAATGAAAGGTTGAGTTAAATATTTTTTGCAGATCTGGGGAGTTTTTCAAAGCTCAAAGATGTGCAGCACATACAGAGGGCACCGATTTACAGTCACCAAACAATTCTCAATGAATCAACAAGATAGTATCGACCTTTACTGCAGACAAAGCCCATAAAGTTACTTCAGGGCCAAGTTCAGGCATCCAGCAAACTACCTAAGTAACATCTACATCTCCCAAGAGCTGCAGTAATCAAGATTTTTCATAATTTACACTTATAATTCATATATATTTAATAATATTAAAAAGTAATCTCATCCAAACAAATTTAAGCAAAATATTAATTTCTATAGGAGGTTCTGCAGAATCCAAGTCTATGTTAAAATACTGGGGCAAGGGAAATGGGTTCACAAACAATATTCAGCTTTCCCCCATACATTTCAATAAAACAAAACTGACTGATTAATTTTAATTTAGCCTTGTTGATGGTCAATTACCCCATGAACAGGCCTAAACAGCAAGAACCTAACAGAATAGAAAAACTTTGAAAGTAAGACCTGAAATGACTAAAAATGTGGATCAGTTTTACATCACCTCAAAGCAGTTACAATTCTTCAGTGCCAATGCTGAAAAGAAAGAGAAACCTGGAAACCAAAAATCCACTGGCATCTTATGGAATAAGTGAGAAAATGCCATTTTATTGCTTATAGTTTCAATAAACCTGTACAAAGGGTACAGTATAAACAGCAGCCATTAATGAAGCCTGTAACTTTTCAATGAAATAATATAGTTTTGCAAATTTGTTTTCTGAGTTCAATCCATCACCAGATAACTTTTCAAAATCGATGCAGAGCCAGTCAAAGCCAAATCCAGAACACGCCAGTGACAGACTGGCCTGATTATCCTCATCAGTCAGGAAGGAAAGCAAGTTTGTGAGTCGTTCAACTTTTTTTTTTTTTCATACCTTTCTCCAGTGAAAGTATACTAGCTCTTTAAAGCTTAGCTTCCATTACTGGGACAATTCAAGTGTACTAAGCAAACCAGTTTTGCAGTACATCACAAAAATTCACCCGAAGCTCTCGTTCCAGTTACACAGATAAAGTTATATAAACTCGTTAAAGATTGGAAGGAGCTGTTGGTTCCCTGTCCAACTTCCTCCTCTCTTATAAGCAAACACTGCACCTAACTGAAACTGCTCAGTTCATGGGATATATCCCCTCCTACCATGACAACAACAAAGGCCAGAAGGCGGAAACCTGCCACCAGCGGTCTGACTCAAAACAAGATTCAACCCAGAATCAACTGAAGACTCCTATCAAAGCAACTCCATTTTAAATTTGTAGGTTGCAAACCAAGGGAAAAAAGTGAATTCCACTGGTAGCTTTAAGCCTCTGAAAACTCCCAGCACTGAAAGGCCTCAAGCTGGAGGCAGAAATGTTCAATTCCAAAAACATGGGAGTCTCACTACTATCAGCATGTTATTGACTGGTTCTTGTATACAAGACTGGCAGCTTCTCATTTTATTTAACATCTGAAAACTCCACAGTTGCGCTCAATTATGTTCATTAAAAACATCCCACAGCCTCCCAAAACCACATCTTACTTTCTTTTTCCTTCCTGCCAGCATTCTGCCTCCTCCCTGCCCCCTGCAATTTTCAGTAAAACAAAAAGGGTGGGAAGAACAGTCAAGTGATTTTATTCATGTTATCACAGCACCTAAAAGGGTCACATCAACAACACTGTCCCACAGCAATCACTATACTAAAAACCAACCAAACAAAAAACCTCACAAGAAAGAGTCCCAGCCCTGAAGAGCTTGCAGTCTAAGTACTATAGAAGAAACTGCAGGTGGATGTAACTGACACAGAAAGCCCAAGGTGAACGTAATGCTCCTGGCCAAGAGGATAAGTAGTGACACAGGGCACCAGCTGCTTAGTTATTGTCAGTCTGTAGCAGCAACACAGCAGGTGTCTCCAATCCTCCAAACTGAAAAGGCTCTTATGCTACAGTAACGCCATTTGGACTTTTTGTGTAACTGCTATAGTGATAGCAACTGACTTGTCTTCAGTCTTAGTTTATCTCCGGTCTCAGTCTTCCTTTCTTAAAAGTTTTAGACTATTTAATCATTTTAATGTGGTACCCCTAACGCTCAGCATCTTAATTCTCTAGTTTACATAGCAATCATTCCATTTTACATTGTAGTTCCAGTAAGATTACATGTGCATTGCATTTTCTCCTCTTTAACTACACTTGCCTTCCATGCAAATAACATTAAAAAGCATCCAATTACTTCACTGACAGTCTCAGATTGGTTGTTCCAAGACCCTTCCCAGCTTTTGCTCCTGCTTATAATTCAGTCTTTGTCAGCTGATATAAAATCCAGATTCCCCCATATCTTTTGCTGTAGTCCTAATCTTTAATAGAAATGTAAAAATAGTTGGTTTGCTGAATTTCTCTCAATAGCTCTTGTTATTTGAATATCTACAGACTCACAAAACAAACACATTTATAGCTGCTGAGTTTTCCCATGTTTGAAAAATGATATACTTACATATTTATCTAAATTCCTAGATCTCAGTTCAATGGTCAATTAGTACTGCAGTAAGTGTTCCCTCAAGAATGTAAAAATTTGCTTATGCAGAAAACAAACTACAAGCAGTCACTCCAATATGGCTACAAGTGTGGGAGAAGAAAAACCAGCAAATTCTAGTCATACTGAGTCAAAGACCAAAAAAAGCTACACTAACTGCACAGGTCTGTTCCCTTTTTGTATGTTGAAAGATACAAAATAAAAATCAACTTTCTGTATCAAGGATGTACACCTTTATGTCACATTAAGTACCATTTTCTTTTATGGCATTATCTCAGCCATTGAAAACAAATTATAAAGGCTCATTTGTAATCCAGTCCTCACATACTAAGAAATCCACAATAATTCTCAATTGTAAATTCCATTTTAATTGCTCCATTATATAATTTATTGTTTCTGGTGACAACTATTTTCATACTGTATTTGTTCTTCCATATAAGCAGCAGACATAAGTAGTTACCAGGAGATGCTGCTCATTCACTTGGTGAAAATGAGTACACTTGCCTTGGGCTTGGATTGTGTCCCATACTTGAAAAGGAGAAATTCTTTTCATTATTATCAGCCTATCCATGTAGGAGGCAGGTCCCCTCACCACCAGATCTTCCTGATTCTGTCCAATCCTCTCCAAAAGAGGTTTCCTCTGAAGTCCTGTTACATATAACTCTTTTCTTTGAAGTGCTAAACATTTTTCTCTGCATTTATAATGGTCCTAATCCTGCAAAGAAGTTGATTATAGCACTATTTTGAAGCACTAGACCTTAGGAAAGAATCAGGATATGAGCTGCCTCCCTCAAAAGCAGCTATAATACAATACCTGGAAAGTTTATCAAACATGTTGACAAGCTTCATAGCTTCGTATTCTTTTTGTTCTTCTGTCATTTCATCCATTGGATTGGGCATTGGTTCTTCTAAGTGACCAGTGATAAGGTTAATGCTGGAGGTGGAAAAACAATACAGTTTACACTTCTATAGAAATATGTAAATTTTCTGTCTTCTTGATAGGAGGAAAGAGTAGTATACTAACAGAAACCACCAAAACTAAAACTGTCTGACCTGCATGTAAAAGTTTTTCCTATAAATAGCCAACTTTCATATTTATACATTTTCTGTAACCTTTTCTCGTGAATTGTGATATTTTCTTGTTGATTCACTTGCTAGCTACTCAAATACACAGCCACCAGTACTTGTTATGTTATAATCCATACACAAGCAGTTTGAAAGCAGGGGAGTAATGATGGTGGTAATGACAAAGACGATGAACCGAATGACAGATACATGTTTGAGACTAATTCTTTGCAGGATTAATTTTAAAAATATAGACAGGTTCCAGTTACATTTTCATATTAATGAAGAAGCATTAAATTAGTTCACTGTTCCCCTCATGATAATTTTTGCTCAAACCAAAATAAGGTTACAGTACTTTGAGAATTTACAATGTCAGTTTTATTTTCACTGTTAAAGTAAGTGAACAGAGATACAGAAGTGGTAACAAATGCAGAGAGTAATTTTAAAGAACACTGTCAGGGCAAACTGTCTTTTCAAGAAGTTTAATCACAAACATTTAACAGCAATACAGAAAATGAGATACAACTGACAGTTGTCCTGAATATTTTACTTAAGTGTCAGTTTTTAACTAAATAGATGTTATAGTTTTACTTGTATGCATATAAATGAATGTTAGGCTTTTGAAAGAAGAGCAGAGACAAAAGAGCAAGAAAAAAAAAATCCTGAAGTTCAGAAATAAAAAGACAACTCTCGTTTCAGAGTTCATTTCTTAGCATAGAAGCAATATAATTCCTGTAACTTCTCATACATTTAATCCTCTCCTTCATTTGTGTTCCTTAAGAATTTTTCAGTAAGACACAACCCCCCATCATATACTTACTCATGTCTGTGTAATTCAAGCAAAATGTAGTAAAGTTGAAAAATAACAGACTTCAGATGCCCATTATCAACAATTTCAGAACCTACTTAAAATGGCATCAATTCATAGATGTAACATGACAAGCAAACCTCTTAATACCAAATCAATTACAATTAATAAAAATCAACAGACAGAGCTTCTATATGATCACTGAATCCTACAAAGAAATATACTGGATTCTGACACATGACTTCTACAACAGTTGTTTTGCTTCCTCCATATTTACCTATGTGACCTACTCAATTCTTTGGGAAAATTTTAGTACTGACTGAAACTAGACCTACCAGTTGGTACCTTTTTTATAAAGTCCCACTTAAAACCTTAAACCACATTTGACACCTTTATTTTCTCTGTTACAGATATACCCCACAAACAATAGTAGGTTGCGAGCTCCTCAAAAATCTGGGGCAAAAGCCATCCTTGCTAAGTTTCTTACTATATCCTTTTTGTAAAATTTGCCCCCAAAAAATCTCTTTTCACACTCAGATTTAAATATTCAGATTCAAATAATTCTCATAGTGTTCGGTTTAGTTTTTTCTTTATTTTTTTCATCCTGGAGCCTTCTGACTATATGATAGTCACTTACAAGTCAACAGCAGACAGTAGCTAATGCAAATGTAATTCCAAAACTGGTCTCTGGAAAAGGTAAAACATCTAAATGCAAGAGAATATACAGAATTGAAAACAATACTATACTTTGGCTTTGCAGATTTGTATTCTTCTGTATCTGTATCTTCATCATCCGAGTACCAATGATCTCCTCTTCCTCCTGCTAACAGGCCCCTTGCTGCCAGCAATCCTGCTGCATTGCCATAGCCTGTATATTTTAACAAGCTGTCAACTGCAAAGAGTGATACAGAAAATTATTCAGCTATAATCAATTACAAAACAAAAACCAGCATAGTGTTACAAGAATTGAGTTATAGCAAGAGGCAAATACAGTAATTACTGCTAGACCTTATATAAAAGGGAGAAGAAAAAAGTAATTTTTACCTCTCTCTTTACAAAGAACAAAAAGAAATTCTGCTGCAATTTGCTTTACTCCAAGGTCAACATGTGTCATAAGACGCACAAGCTTGTTTCTCACTGTTGTGCCAACTTCTGGACGGTTTGATACATCTCTTAATGGAGGCAATACCTAGCAGCACAAAAAGAAGAAAACCAGCATAGAATGCATGGCAATACCTATCCGATCCTTGCAGAAACACAGTCAACAGAACAAGACAATACTGTAAACTCTACTCTGCTCCTTCAAAAAAAGGAATAAAATCAAGACAACTATGTTGGCATGCCCTAGTAATGACTCTTGCTTCTTAATATATTCAGGCCTTCTGGTCTGCCACCATGGACAAAAGAGTACTCAGTATCAAACAGACTAAAAAAAGAAAAAGACAACTATTAGCATATTAAGAGCACAAATTAGTGTCCCAAAACAGTTGGCCAACAGGCAGCAGTAACCTCATGCTCTTGGTTTCTTATGCTCAGATATGTGGAAAAAGCATTAAAAAGACCAGTTTAAGGAAAACTACGGTATTACCATAATGTGTGATTTATACAGAACAAATGAATATACTTATAATGAAAAAAACAGGAAAATAAGTCACACTGCAAGTTCTACTACCATAAATTTCAAAAATTGGCTCTACATGCATAGAGGAAAAGTTTTCTTCTCACAGAAAACACTCTTTTAAGAGCTCAAGCTAAATTTTTAAAAGATTTTGGAGAAAACACTATTTAACATTTCCCCAAACACACTCTTTTCTCATTAAATGTCATTAATATTGTTAACTTCAACCCTCAAGAAAGGCAGGAGGTGTCAGAAATGTGGCTGGTTTTGCAACCTAACTTCCACCTCCTTGCTCATCTGCTTTCAGACTCAAAGCCTACAGTACTTTTTTCACATTCACAGGATATATGATCTGCAGTCAAATCTGGGCCATAATATGAAATAATTAATCATCTGAAGACTCCTATAAGGATTATAGATCTTCAATGTTTTACTGGGTAATGAAACCAAAGATGTCACTAATTGTCATAAGAAATTGCAGGTCCTTTGTCTTCTAGGTGTCTAATGTAAAATGTCATGTTCTGTGAAAAATTACTGCACAATTACTACTGAAATTGGACTCACTAGGAAGTGATACTTAAACAAATGAATGCTACAGTATTGACTACTTTGAACAAAACAGACCCAGTCTTTTTCAAACTAAGTATTCAAACAGTTAGCAAAAGCATTTTACTTTGTCCCTGCTTACTTTCCCCAATGGGGATAGTACTATGACTGCCATTTCACAGACTGTTGTAAGAATGAATTAATGTTTTTAGAGTACTCTAATACTAATACAGTGATGAGTGCCACAGGACAGTCCATGAGGAAATTAATCATTCTGTCTTCAGATCAGAATTTGAATAGTGCACAATAAATAAAGCCTAAGGCCAACACTTAACAATGAGGGTAATTCAAAATATCAAACATCCGGTCATGCAGTTAGCAATATCCATCCATTCTGTGCACTAAATGAGGCAGTAGCCCTGTGGTAGAAGACAGCATGCAGTTACATCCTGACATCTAGATGCCGAGATGTCATAAAAACATGCAGACAACTTCATTTTCTAACTTCTGAACGTTCTGCTCTGCAATTTTTAAATTTTTTTTTTTTTACTTAACAGATCATGAGTATCCCAGGAAAGAAATACTGCAAACAAAAACAATGAGCACCAAGTACGTGTTTCTTAAATTCCTCAAAACCACTTTTCTGATATAGTTGAGAGAAGCAAAAAATATATATGCTCTTTTCCATTATAAACTCCATTCGTGAATTCAGGCTCAATTTTGATCCGGGAGTGGTATCTACAATGCAACCCAAAAATCACTGCAGTTTAGGAGAAAGAACATTTCTCAGCTGGTTTCAGCTGTCTTTCCCTTGCTCATCTTTTAAGTTGCCTCCACTCAACTTGAGGAAAAGCAGCAAAACAGGAAACATCACATCCAATCACCAAACCACACAGATTCTTTACATCTTTAACCATGGCATGGAAAAATCTTTTTTCCTGTAAAAAGCCTACCCACAGTCTGTACTGTATTAAACAGCTCTTCTAAGAGACCAGGTGATGAAGTGTGCCTCTGTTCAGGGACAAAGTTTTACTCTGACAGAACAGCTGATACACACTGGTACACAAGTTTCAATTCCAATCAATACTGCCTGCTGATGTCAGGTTAAACTGAAGTTCAAGCAGAACCCATCAAAGCACCTGTAGCTTCCCTGGCTATCACAAAGCTTTGCAAAGTTTTATTAACTGCACTGGAATTTTTCTGATATGCTGGATATAAGGCGACAGACCTCACTGAGTTCTTTGCCTGTGTGTCACATAATCCATGGTGACCCACATTAACAGAGCTTTACAATATCCCTAATGCTATTATTTAACAGCTCTACAAAATGTATTGTGGAATTTAGGTCATAATATCTATTGATTTACATGACCAAAAAAATATTTCTATAGCTATAACAGTTGTCAGAGACCTAACAGAAAAGAATACTGCAGAGAATTTTGTGGGTAATTTAATATGCAACCATTCATTCTTCTAAAGTATCAGTGTCTTGCACTGATGTACAAACCTCAAAAAGTGTATTAGCTTCATAGTTAAATTTTGATTAATATTTTACTTACCTGAGCTTTGATAAACTTTCTAATATTCCTATGAGTTCGGCAGCATTCAGTTAATAAACTGAGAACTGGAGTCAGACCTTCTCTGTAGCTACTTCCCTAAAATAAAACAATATACAAATAAAACATTTTTAAGAGCAATTTTTCCTTTTCAAATCCTATGAACCCTTCAATGCAGTCCTATGTGACAGCCAAAACATGAACTTTACATAGATATAAACAAAGAGTCAAATGTTCATCCACAAAACCACACACAAACCAGTACACTTCCAATATTCACAGGAATTTGTTCTCAATTTTGAGGTGTTTCACAATCTAGAAGCAAGGACATCCAGATTTGTGCTAAATACTGTCTGAAATGTAAAGCTTCTTATAAACCTATGTGCAATTCTGTTTTAATGAAAGAGGCCCTTTTTGTGAAGAATCTTTGCAGCCCATACCTTGTCTATTCTCTTCTCCATGAAATCCAGTAAAATCTGAATCGCTCCCATATTCATGCCATTGTATTTTATATCTGTTTCCACTTGGGATGATGGACTAATAAGAACATCCAAGCAAGAAACGGGAACATTGCTTAAGAGGTTGATTGCATTGCTGAAACAGATTTTAGAGATTCATTACTCATTTGGAAGAAAGAATTAAAAACAGAGTACAACTCACCATAAACTGTTTGTACAACTGCAACCAAAAAGAGGCCTTGCAACTCAAACAATGCTTTATTTTCTGCTCTCTGGGTTTTAAGGAAGGTGGCATGCATTATCGCCTGAGCGCTGGCTCTTGGAACAAACAAGAAAAAAGAAAGACAAAAGCTCCAAAAGCTACGCTGCAGCAGTGCACTATTACTTCCAGCTCCCGCAGTACCCTTTCCCATAGATAAGGCACAGCTTCCAGCAGTATGTTACAGCAGCAGATCTTGCAGGACAGCAGGGGGAACTCTCACATTGACTTGCAGCGGTCAGAGCTTTTTTCCTCCTTGAACCTTAAAACATTTTACAGTGCACCCATATTACCATCATTAATGTGACAAACTACACATTTCTTCCTCCTGTAACAGTGGGGCGTGGTGGCATTTTCTCAGGTAATATTTTCACCTTTACTTAGCTTGTAGTGTACAGGAAATACAGAAGGATTTTAACACATTAGAAAAAAAGATTCAGGTTTATTTACCAAGCCCCACCTTTCAGTAATTGGCAGTCTTTGCACTCTACAAAGCAGAGAGGAACACTTCCCAAATATCCATTAAGTGATTTAAATTAGACCACAGGGTTCCTCCCTCCTCTTTGATGGAGTAAGACAGAACTTTGCAAGGGTCCCTTGCATGGTACACACCCCTTGAGTTTGCATTTATCCTGTTCTCATTATACAGACTTGCATTTGTACTCTTCCTGAATATGGGGCTAAATTACACAGATACTGCAAAAATTAGACTTCTGTCATTATTTACTAGCTGATGCTCAACTAAACTTATAAATGGATATATTCAGGAATACTACAGAGCTATTTGGACATACATATGCAGATCTCAAAGCTATCAACAAAACTATGAGCACTGATGTTTCAAGGATTGACAAAGTGTTCCAAGAATAGAGAAGGCTTTTCAAACAACTTCATTTAACACTTTTAATAATACCTACATAGAAGATGCCCTCAGTTTTGATGTTGTTAATGCAATTTTAACAAAGAATTATTAAAAGAAAAAGCAAATCATGGCAATCAAACATAATAGTATTTCTAACAGATCTACTGGTTTTGGTCTGATTGGACTGGGTGGCTGTTCCACACTGTGCCATCTCCTTTCTGCTCTTTTAGTAATTGAAATTCAGACAACTTCTGCTTTTTGGAAAGCTTGTTCTCTTTGGTTTGTTTCTAATTCCTGTTCAAGATACATCTTTTCTATCATGGAAGTTATTCCTCTCTAATAATTCAGGAATACTGAGAAACAAAACAGACTGAAATTCAACAAATATTTGGTGGCTTCAGGCCTTTCATCAAAAGTTCTCTTTTTACCAGTTTCTTATTAAACAACCAAGTTCCCAAACACCTACAAAATTAATTTTCTGGATCACTGTGTCTGAGCTATTCTTTTCAATAAATGAAGCCCGGCTTTCTGATCTTTGTCACTCCACTGACAGTTTTATTTGTGGTAGAGGAGTGTATGAAATTCTCCAGCTACCAGGAAGTCACTGACTATGCACAGATCTGCACAATAGTGTTTGCATTCCTACTCCAGGGGGTAGAAATACTGCGTATATTACTCTCCCCTTTTCGGCTTCCTAGAGATCATTAATCACTGGGACATGACATCCACCCACTCATGCTCCCAGCCCCCTCCTGATATGCAAATTCAGAAGCAAAGGCCTATTTAGAGCTGCTGAATGCCTTGATTAAAACCTTGTTAGTGGGCAAAAATGGCACTCACTCTAATATGTGGTGCTTTAAACTGTTCATATTCAAACGCTAAGTAATTACATGACAGAACCACAATAATGACAACAATACCAGGTACTAAATTAGTTAACATATTTTTATAGGTAACTTCTGCTTATTTATTAGAAATAGAGTCACACTGACAATCAGTACATCACAGCTCAGGGCATGTATCCAACACCTGATGCTCACATGAAATAAATCCTCAGCTCACACATTCAGAGCACAAGTATTCATAGGACGTGCTCTAACTGGCTGCCTGAACCCTTCATTTAAGCATCTTACATTCTTCAGATTTACAAACTTAGAAAAGTGCAAGTGATCAGCAATTCTAAGAAATATACCTCCCTGATGCGTCATAAAGTTTATTCTGCATTCAGCACTGCTCATATTTTATTCAATTTTTAACATTATTTTTTCAGTGCCTTACTGATAGGCTCCAGGTGGAAAGCAGAGCGAGAAGTTGCACTCTGCTCTCTGACTCACACCTCATCTCCAGCAATAACGACTGCACAGTCAGAGTCCAGCATACAGAACAGCCCCAGCGATGACACAGCCTAATTTTTTTCAGCTATGCAGTGTTAGCTATAGACTGCTAACACAAGTATACTCATTCATTATTGAAGCTCCTATCAGGAATGAAAGTTTTGCTTGACCAAATACATCTGGGGACTTGAAGTGGGGCCCTCTGATCCCTCTGAGGATTTGCAGGGGCATTATTCTGAGTATACCCTTTCTATTCCAGAGATGCCTTATGAATAATCTTAGTGGAAAAGTGTATTAAATTATTCTGTTCTTATTGTGCCCTGTAACATTTAAACACAAAACTCAGGTTCTGCAAATGGGCTCAAATATTTGAATCACAGAAGTTAAAACCTGTGCAGTGCTCTTCTAACACAGTAAAAAACCCCAAGTGTGACATACGTCAAATACCACATGCAGCAACACTATCCTTGCATTCTTTCTTGTATCAACTTGAGCTAAACAAACTAGCTACAGTAAGCTAACATAGGGAGAGAGTTGTTTTCCCAGCATAACAGAAAGACTGATGCAGTGCTATACTGTCTGATGGAGAAGGAGAAACAACTGAAATGACACAAGGCAGTGATAACCACTCATTTCTTTTCTGCTTCCCACTCTCAGAACTACGGAGAAACCTCGCCTTGACTTGGTATCTCCGTAAGGTCCATGTGGGCAGCATCTCTACACAAAATATCCCTTCTGACTGAAAAAAGCAAGGACAGAAATCACACCAATAATACATATTATTCAGAGCTGCCTACTTCTATAAGTAAATCCCTTTCTGGATCTCATCTGCAAAAGCTAAAACCAAAAGGACCTGCAAAACATGCACCCTTTTGCAATAACACAAGGTAATTAAATTTTATAGGGTGATTAGACTAGATTCTTGGACAAGGACACACAATGTGTTTTCATGGGAAAAGCATCAGCTGTGTAATAATTCAGCAGAATATCAGGCAGTCTTGCTGACTACATACCAGCTTAAATGCTAAAGGTCTATCTCTGTCTTCTTGTAGCTGAATTTATTCAAACCTGTTCAATTTTCCCAGCAGTGGTGAATTCATTCCCACCAGTCCCTCCCTTTAAAGGAGGATGAGAGTGCAAAATAACCACCATAAGCAGCAGCAAAGAGAAAACACTGAGTGCCTTTTAGGAAACACTCAGCACTAACTTTAGTCATGGCAACTATTGCAGTGGTATCCTAAATTATTCCAAACTAGTCTGCACCAACTGAGAAGGGCTCTGATGTAGGATTTTAGTGTTCACCTACTAAGACTGTTGATCTCTAAGAACTTTCCAAGATTTTAATCAAGTTCATTTAACACTTTCAAGATTGCTGGGTGTGAAAAGCTATATCCTTCTTCCTGGAGCCTGCTGGTTCAGAAGAAGATCTTCAAAAGATCCTACAGTTAGATATACGGACATCACTGAAGAAGAAAACAGCAACACTAACTTTGATTGCTGAGGCCCTGAGAAGAACTGACCTACTTGGATAAAAATAAGGGTGTCACAGAAAAAAACAGTAACAATGAGCAGAGAACTACCACCTCACTAAAAATACTATAAATTTGGATTGAATTGTTGGCTGCAAAAACATAACAAACAGTTGGGTGCAGGACTGAGGAAAAAAAACCCCAACGCACCTAAAACCACAAGATGATTCACTCATCTTTGAAAAAAAACCCACCATTACCAGGGAACTGATATCTGTACTTTTAATAAAGCAGCCTAGAGCTACTGGAGATAAAGTATCACCTTATTACTTCCATCCGAACCTATCAGAATTTCAGAAGTTACATAAAAAAAAAATAATCTCAAAAGCATTTCTTCCATCTGCTTCTGTGCAAAACGACAGAAGTTGCATTTAACTTCAACTTGCACTACCCCTAGAACTTCCATATGCATTTTCATCCTCAGTTATACACACACACACAAAAGATTTCAAAAAGGTCAGCTTCATTATTATTCACCAAAAATAACAATATTGCCAGCCACTTTCTCTCTGGAATGGTGGACATGCTTAAAAAAATATTTCAGGCAAACAGTTTAGACCAAAAAGATTAATAATATTTTACTCAAAATTACTATTTTCCATTGTTTCTCAGATTTCCACTTTAGATTTCAGGCAAAGTTATTTTTTTTTCTATTAAAAAAACCCAAACACTTTTAAAATAGATTGGTCCTGCAATTTTACCAACCTGTGCAACTCTTCAGTTTTGTCTTCAGTAGGGCCCGTGGATAATAAGCAGTGTCGAAGGATGGCAGCCATGTAACGAAATTGATGAGATTCATTCTATATAAATATAAATTATGAAGACATTTTTTCATTTTGAAGATTGCAAGTGGGGTTTCAGGTCACTAGAATAATAAAAATTAAAGATGGAAAATACCTATTAGATCATAACATCCATCCCTATCAATAAAAGGACTGTACCTTAGAGTTCACTGAATTCTTAATGCAATGTAACTGCCATATGCTGGCCTTTTAACTAGGCCTTGTAAAAGTCGCTGGGGACTTGTTTCCAAGTTAAATGAACCTTCACTACCAAAAAATCCCATTACAAGCATTTCTTCAATTCCATACCACTGCTCTTAATATACCACTACTATCTTCCTTTCTGTATTTACACCCAGCCGCCTCTTCATCCATTTAGATTACATATGTTCTTCATTTATTATAATTTTCCTCCTCCTCATTTAGACCTTTCGCTGCCAACAGTTTCATTCCCCCACCCAGTCTGTTTCTTTTCCTAATTCACTTGCTTCTATTCCCTTGATACCTTTTCTCCATTTCGTTAATAACTTCTCTACTCTCAGCAACCTTATTTGCCCTACTTTTGCTCTCTCCAAGCAATTCCCCCTTCCAGTCTCCCACCAGACAGCAGCCACACAAAAGTACACCAGTATCTGCAATCATTTAACTGTGTGTATCATTGTCCTCGTCCTTTTTCATTAGCTCTTCTTGGCATCCATCATATGTTCTGGTGTGTTTGAGCTAGCACAAAGCACCCCATTGCATCTTTTGTAACATCAGCATCCAAATCTGCCAACTGTACCACCTGCGGCTCTTGTCTGGCTTTGCTACTTTGAAACCATCTTGTCATTAAATAGGGTGTTTCCAATGGTTCTCTGCCCCTTAGGGTGGATCTCATTTAGTTTTCTACCCACATGCCTAACCTCTCTGCTCTCCTTTTATTTTCCATCCCATCCACTATTTGTAATCTCTTCAAATTCTGCATCTTCAGCCCACTTAATTAACATAATGCTTACTCTTCCTACAGATCATTAATATTTCCACAGGGATACTTGCTAAGCAGAATGTCACATAACACATCTGGCAGTTTACAACTACTAAAGAGCTCTTTAAAGTTTCCTTGCTTTTAGGAAATTTGTGTAGAGATTTATCTCAAAACAAGCTTCTTCCACTCCAGAATGTCTTAACCTCTCATCCAAAAATTAAACAAACCCAAAGAAGTTACTAACACTGGAATTTCCTCCAGTCTGAAGGAAGTTTTCCTGACAGCTGCATGCTTGGACTCTTCAGGGAGGAAAAATTTTGTGGGACAAAACCTCCCTCATTCCACAGACAGCAGCCATAGGAAACTTCATCAGGTAACACCATGACTGTGTGCCACCTCCTGCCTGCCCCTCTGCAGTAAACCAGGCTTTTCATCTCACAAGATTCCCAGTATTTTGCAAGAGTACTCTAACTTCAAGATCCAGATTTCAAGAGCTTACTTCAAGAGGTGAACATGTAATACAGCTTCATTTGCCAACACCTGACATATCCTCCACAAAGGACTTAATCACAGAGATGATACTTCTCGAACTCTGAACTAGCAAATATTCATATAGCCTTGTCACATGATTTAACTTTTTCCACTCAAGCTTTTATCTCCAAAACATTCACTTGACTATACAAAGAACTTTCTCTGACAAAGTTATTTTCAATAAAGGTCTAAGTCAGGAATGCAATCAAGAGAAAAGTCCCTCACTTCATTAAAAGTTGAAGTATTACCTTCCCTGATTCCCTCCCCTCCCTCCCCCATCTTAAATTTCTGGATTTCTTACTAAGTGTATTCTTGAGACATTAAAGCAAAGAATAAGCTTCAGACTTTTCTCGTTTTACATTCCTTAATGTTATGATTAAAGTCTTATTTGATGTTTAGTCCAATGCACTAAAGGGAACAATTACTTGTTAATTTTAACTACTATAAACTTCTGCTTTGCTTTATAATATGCTGCATATTTACAATGCCCAGTGAAAAGGTAACAACACTGGTTTAGAGACAATATGATGTAGACTAAAAAGAAAGATTCCCTATATAATTCTATTACTGTAGCACAGACTTGGGTTATTCAACAAAAAAAAGTTATTCTTATCATTTCTGTTTATAAATTTAGGGATGCAACAAATAGGAAGCATATTTGTCTAAGAAAAAAAATAATCTGATGTCATAAGGAAAAAAAAGATAAATCTTATGAATAAGATGTAACAATGTAAATGCATTTGGTTCTCATACTTGACCTCATCTTAAAAGATCACATTTATGTCCAAACCTGGTGTTGGAAGGATGGGAGATAAAGGTATTAAAAAAAGTACCACTCTTTCTTCAGAGTTACTTGTTAAAAATTAAGAGTCATGCTTATCATCATGCCAAGGAAAACAAAGATCAGGGAGACTTCTCAGCTCTAATTATTATCCTGTTGCTATAGTCCACAATCTCCAGAGATGTAGCCATCTGACAGATTTACATTCAAAAGTTTTTCCTAGCCAGCTAATTATTAATAACAGCATTTATTTTCTTTTGAAATCTAAGACTCTTATGCAGTAGTTGTTTTTGCATTTTTTACTTGAAAAGATACACTTCTAACTTGCATTATATAATTCAAGCTATGCTCCCACTACACATAAAATGTATGGATTAGATTTTTTGCCTAAGTAGTAACAAGAACAATGAATTTATTTTGTTAATCAAAGCAACGAGCATTAAAGACTCAACACCTTTTGAAAGCCCAAGATCATCAATACATGACACAATCAGAACTCAGACAAATTTTCTCAGATTGATTTTGCATGTAGAGAAATTATGATGTAAAATCTCAAGACTACCTGAGCTGCTATTTTCAAAAATGCAATCATATTCTATCAAAATTACAGTAGCAAACGTTAAGGATTCTTGCTCTGGGGATTGGACAACTGCCTCGTGTATGTACCTGCTGGTTCTGGCTCTTGCAGGCTAAACAAAACCAATTTAAAAAACACTTCAGCTAAGCCTTACCTCGCTGTGGACATTCCAACTGTCAAGTGTTACATTAAAAAGAGCCTTTAGGGCCTCAATGGCACAATCTGTCTCTTGCAAAGACAGAGGCCTGTCACGATCTTCTGCTGTTTTATACTCTTCTACCCATCTTACACTCAGGGAACTTTCCAAAGCCTGAGTCAAAACTTGCACCCCTTGTAGTTCCTGGCGTAACTGCGATCTAATATCTGTGTGCAGAAGCGACAAGAGGAAGAGGAGTCGCAAATCAAAGCATTTAATGTCATCATCAAACTGTTGGTCCTTGCATTTTTCCAGGAGATTGCAGAGCATAGCTGCAAGATTCAGTTCCAAACTGAGCTTCTGTGCAACAGCACTATTAAAAATTATGTTACAGAGGCATTTTAAAGCTTCTACTATAACGGGAAATTCAGACATTCTCTCCAAAGGATCTTCCACAGTGTCCAGCTTTGCTAGCCTCATAAGTATCTGCATGTTCCTCTTCGTGGTTACAGGCACTAAAACCTTCTTGTCCCTGGAGAGAATACGGAGGGCCTCCAAACAGGCAACTTGACATGAAGTTTTTGTGTCTTTTTCAAGGATGTTTAGAATTCCCTCACACAGTTTCTGTACAAAAACAAACGAACAAAAAAGGAACAGTTTTAGCCTCAAAATATTGGTGGCAATAGGAAACTTTTGCTAAGCTTCCGTATAACTTTTGAGTTTTCAGCTGACTTGAGAAAACTAGGTATTCTGCATTAGCTCTTCAAAATATAAACTATTACAAAAGACTTCCACAGATCATCAAAAGCAGTTTTCCTCATGGATACAACCCTTGGCAAAAGCATTAAGCCAACATGGCAGATGCTATCCATCACTGCCAGTTACTAAGTTTTCACAGTATCAGGACTAAAAAGTTGAGTAGCCAGTTACAAAGCTAGAGAGAAGTGAAAGAATTTAAAAATACATCAAAGTAGAACAGTCATATCTACAGTACCTACAAAATTATAAATTGAGGTTGTTTCAGTCAGAAGGCTGGGAGAAAAGAAACCAAGCCAAAATAACTGCTGCTCAACATACAGGTATTAATACTCCATGTTTTGTAACAGCTATAGTTTGTGTTGCCATTTCAACCTAATCTACAGACTTCTCCTATCTTAAGTAAGATTCTTAGAAATGTTAGCTCTGACACAGAAACATAATGCAGTTTTATTGGAAGACTTAGGCTGTAGCATTTTTACCAAACCAGCAAAACTGCTGCTTTGTCACACAGATTGCTCTTGAAGTCAAAATATTTCACTGATACTTTATACCAACATGACTGCAGGAGTAAACAATCATATAAACACAGCACAAGAAAATACAAGACTCCAAGAATCTGCAGGTCAGAACAGTAACATCTGAATTACAGAAGAATTACCTTTTATAAAATAGAAACAGACAATCAGATGATAAATCAAAAGAGAGAAAAGACAGGACAAGGTTACTTGATGGCAGACAACTCTATGTGGTTTTTATACCTTAAACTCAGGACACCACTACTACTCATGAGTACCAGAGCCAGAAGTATAGTTCCCAGATAAGTGGCATTACAAACTGCATTGTCCCTCACAGGACACAGTTCCTCCCTCCTTCTCACCACCCAAGCTTTGTGTCTTGACCATCGATACGAATAAATTACCAAAGAAGCCAGAGTAGCAACTGAGTTGAATAGTCCTAGCGCAGAAGTCTGCTTAGGACCTGAAATTCATATCATGGTTTCAGACATTATATGTCAATAAGTGATAAAAAACAGCACATAGGAATATTAGCAAAGTGAAAAATAGTTCTTGGGGACGGTCTCTGGAATTACACTTTTCACCACCATCACAACAAAAGCAGGAAGCACAGCAGCGCATCACCCTGACTCAAAGGTCAAAACAAAAGTTCCACTTGGGACATCCAAGCAAGTTTTGTTCACTTACAATTAAAGAAAAAAAAAAAAAAAGGTTAAATCTAAAACAAATCTGGAACAGACACTCCAGAAGAATAAGGGAGAAAACAACACAAGTATTCAACAATGTTAAAAGACAATCTGTAAACAGAATCAGACAGTAGGAACTCACAATATGATTTCTAGTATGTTTGTCCTGGGGTGAAGCCCACTCAAAAGCATCACCCAGACAATCAAGGTCTTGACTACATCTCCACAGCTCTGACTAGATTAATCTAGTAAGAGTTTGAAAACAAAGGATGAGCTCTACCTCTTACTATCACGTAGGCAACATGAGAAATCTTGGGAGAAAATCGGAATATTACTGACACTGTAACAGTATAAAACTCACATTTGACCATCTGTACAGGCATACAGGTACTTACTGTGGGAATTTCAAAGACAGGTACCTGGAAACAGATATCCAAGTACAGAGTTTTCAGAGTTCTTCAACATTAACCTAATGCTGCTCCCACAGATCTGTACAAGCCCCTGACTTGACCATACTATGCTAGACCTGCACTATATGTTTCTGAAGGTGGCACCTTTGAAGTGTTTTTTTAAAAATGCCTAGGAAACAAGAAATGACCAGTCTAGATCCACAGTCAAATTTACCTAGTCACAGCTCAACTTCTTACAAGATTTTTGTTTTTATTGTTAAGACAGTTTTCCATACAATTAACTTTGCTTTGCAAGCTGACACAACAGTTGTGAAGCCTGGTTTTGAGGACTAACACAGAACTGAACAAACACTTCAGAGAATTCCAGGAAAAGGCCATTTTATTCTGTTCCATTTAAGTACATTTCTATTAGACTTAGCAGTTATAGTCTTCCTTGTTGACACCAGCTGTTATAAGGTGGTCTGTAATAATTTATCCAAATTCAACAGCTGGTTCACCAGCTGGACTCTCCCTCTCTTCAGGAATTGTGTAGCAGTACCATATTAACCACACAAGAAGCCAAGTTACCAGACTTCCCCAAACCAAGATACTGAATGAACACTTCAAAGACATACTGGGCCAGACTGCCTTCCTTATCAGTAAATAAATACAGCACAAAAATATATCTGATTTTTCATTAATGGTGCTGAAGGTTTCTTCTAGGACTTTAAATACCAAGGATCACTTCATAAATTATCTGATCCAATCAATATCCACTGAGATTAAGGGGAGTTTCCACTCATTTTTGTTAGTGGCAGAGCCTATACACATCTTGCATCTGGCACTCTGGTCTTTAATCTCAGTCCAACAAAACCGGAATGCTCATTTGACTACAAAGAGACCAATCCTTCCAAATTCTGACTGATTCCCCCCCCCCCCGTAAGTTGCACCCACCTGCTGCTATGGTAGTGTCACTGCAAAATGTCAAAAGCACTGCAGGGGAGATCCCAAAGGGCACCAAACTCCCACTGACTTGCCATAGGAGGTGGAAGACTAACCCTCACTCCATATGTTTGAAGACTATCCTTGCAATTTAGTTAAAGATTATAAAAACCATCATCTCACAGGTTCAAATCTTAGTGAAATGCAGCAACGAAAGATTCTTAACTCCGAACAGCTGTACTAAAGACAGATACTAAATAGAACACACATTTTTTTTGAGATTTAACAACCTACTTACAACTTAAAATAAAAAAACCATGGGTGTGCTTGTAAGGTGCTTCATTTCCTACATGTTCCTGAGGCCTGAGCTGTAGAAAAATTTCACAATCTAAGCAAGGCCAGAGTTTATGTTTAAAAGCATTAATTATACAGTTTTATGCATACTGTATTAACAACTAAGCCATCACACACTTAAGAAGACATTACTAAGCTTCATAGCTATTGCAGCAAAATACAAATTTTTTAAGATGCAAGACTCCCATAAGCGAAAAAACATGTAGAAACTGCTGACAAAGTTCTCTGGAGTTAGACCCTGGTAAGCCATCAAGAGTGATTTTAAAGAAGCCAGCATTCGGTTACAATACCACCACTTGCAATACTTCCAAAATCTGAACCACTGCTGGCTGATCATAAGTGCCAACAGGAGCTCAGGAGAAACCAGAGCATGCAATTATAGTTGAAGAGTTATCCATGGAAAGTTTTGAAGCAAGGAAACAAAAATCATCCTGTTAGGAAATTGCCTTGGAGACAACTAAAACCAAATGCCATACAGCACATTTTCTGCTTTCTCCTTGACAGTGTGATGCACAGGGAGAAGAGAAACAGGAAAGGATGTGGCCACATAAAGCATTATTACCCTTTTCATTTTCTTTAGGTGGTGCTTTTTCTACTGCCCTGTAGGCCATAGCATGGCATAAACTAAGAGGCACAGATGTTATTTATTTGGTTGGAAATAAAAGCAAGTGGAAGAATTCAGACAGCAAGGTACCCCGCCCCCCCCCTTTCACAAAATATATGATGATTGTCCTAGTTTCATGGATTTATTGCTATCCCCTAAATTACTGTACAGATTTAATAGTTTTTTTAGTTCTATCCTTTCAACATTCAGAAGGGGGGATGACTTTCATCAGTCATGCTACAGCAAAAAGCATTTTTCATGTACTTTTCCATAGAATCAAGGCTGTTTCTAGTCTTTTTAAACGTTTTCTTAATTGGACATCTCTAAAATTCTGTAATTCTCTGCTTTCATGCTAATAGTGAGGTTAAAACAGATCAACACACACCATTGCTGTAGAGTGAGTAATGGTAAAACATCTTAAAATTTTATTGCATGTTAAAACAGAAAGCTTAGAAACACCAACTTGTCATCTTGTCTTTATGAGTAAAATATGAATCCAGTTTGATCCTTTATCCTAATAGCATAAACATTTGATGATAGGAAGCAACACAGTCATATAGAAAAAGAAATATCCTGAGATACAAGAGGCATTTTCTTCCCTGCTAAGCAAAGGGTATCACCTCTTCACTTCCATTTTTTTCTGCCACCTTTGTTTACAGTCTAATTAGACTGGGCAGCACTAAGTGCTTATTAGCAGATGCTTATATTTTCAGGACTCAACTCAGCTGGGGAAGCTAGGTGCTTGTGAAAAACAGGGTACTTCATTAATCTTGCTCTTTGGTCCTGGGGCACCTGCATGTGAGCTCCTTTTCCATCTCCTCCCTTTGTGCTTGAACATAGTTAGAAAGCATGTCTGACCTAGAGTTACTTTTTTCAATCCACAGACCACTAAACTTTAGCTACATGATGTCAGCTGAATTTACTATAGCTTCTCAACATCCGAGTAATAAATGTCTTGGTGAGAAAAGGAGACAATTCCCCTTTATTTGCTTCTTCCTCTTTGGCAAATCATTCTCTTTACTTATACAGCCTTATACAAGAGAATAGAGTCCCCATTCTGCAAATATTCAAATCCAAGCAAACACCACTGTTTTACTGAATATAGCATTTAATTTAGACACAGATTATTCAGTGCTTGAAAAGCTATAATTCAAAGGTAAACAACAAGAGTCCTGCTAAACATTACAGAAATAGAGTGCCTACTTTTATCTATTTTTTGTGCCTTTAATTTTGAATTATGCCATAGATGCTGTAAGTACCAGGAGAGGCACGCTTCTTAGCAATCAAGTTTACATTAAAACAAGGGAAAAAAAACCAAGTTGTTGTCAAGAAATACATGCTGCTCCCATTTTCCACTTTCCTCAGTGATGGAGCATGTTAGTAACAAAACTGCCAGAAAAGTCTATCAAGAACAGAAATTCTACAACAGCAGAACATAGGTGGTGTGCTTGGTTTTGTAGCACCTTCATTTACTTCTCAATATCAATGTTCATAAGACTTCTTTGTATATTTCAAGACATAAATACACCTTGATGGAACAGCAAGTGATAGTAGCACATGGGGAGCAATATGAGTACATGAGAGTTACAAAATTCTTACTATACTTCTTAGGCTTAACATAAAAATCAAGCTTTTTAAAAAACTGTCCACAAAAATCAAATGAGCCCTCCTCACTCTTCTTTAAAGCTGGGAAAGAAAAGTCACAGAGCTAACAGTGAGCATGGGTAAACCAGAGGCCACCATGTCTTTTGGCCTTATCAAGTATTATGTGTCAGAACACATCATTTAGTTAGGAGAATGGGAACATCATAGTGGTACCAGGTCATACTTTCCTTCTACTGCACTGACTTAAGTCCCTCTAGTTCACTTTGTCTTCTGACCCATGTTTTTCATCATTTTCAAATTTCAATTTCAATTAAATTGTCTCTAGGGGTTCAAGAGAAGTACATTCTTAATTTAATTCAACTTAGCTCTGCAGCCGTTCAGTGGTGAGAATGGTTAAAGCAACCATAGTGCCAAACACAACGGTCACAAGGAACTGTATTTACCCAACAAATCATATCGGTCTACTATTGATTACTCCATCCATACTGCTACCTATTCCTCAAACTTACCTTCTACTTCATTACAAACTTTAAGATTCCTAGCAGACTCTATCCCATTTTCAGGTAGATGAAAGGAACATTAGTAGTAACTACAATAAACTGCACACGAATTTTTACAACTACAACAACTCTTAAGTTTCTGTGGCTCACAAAGTTATTCAGAAGCTTTTCGTAACATACAAGTCCCTCTCCATCTCATACAGCAAAATCAAGCATTTTGCATGTTTCTTATATTTTCAGTATACTGTGCAAATCAGCATTGCATAAAACACAACAGAAACTACGTTTTTGACAAGTTAGAGATAAGATTCCATGAGTAAAGAGGCATAACTTGGAATCATTGAGTAAGAACACTGGCTGATCATTTCTGCTAACAGGAATGGCATTAGAATAATAAAATAATTGCTTTATTCTGCTATTAGGTTTCATAGTTAAGTATCCAAAGCAGTAAGAAAGTAAGCCCAACATTAATATTTTCTCTCTAAGTCAAGACAACATTTATATAACATTTATAATCGACTGTGCCGAATAATGGGACAACAAGACAACCTCCACCGAAAAGGCCATACCCAGTTTTTGCCTAGTCTTCGCAGACAGATGTGGGAGGGAAGGTGTACACTTGTATTCCTTGAGGATTCAGTATGCTTCACTTCAAAACTTAATTGTTCAACCTTATCAACAGAGGGAGTTGGCCTGTTTGGCAGGAGCCTGCCAGCTGACATTGGTAGAGGTCCAAGTTGCAGGTCTGAACACATGACAGCTTAGGTTAGTTAGCACTCTGCAGGTAGGGTGAGGAGCACCCACAATAAACCGTGTTGTCACAACTGGTGGAAGAAACACCTAGTTCAGAGTCACAGAAAGGTGAAATTCTGCAGAGCTGAACTCTCCTTGCCCTCTCCACTGAAGGGAAGAGAGGGGGGAACCCTTTATAAGCTCTGTAACCCAGTGGTGAAAGAAAGGAGAGATGGGTTTCACTGGCTTGATATAAACCTTAAGTAAAAACTGAAAAATGCTGGATGGGAGTGGGCAGGACCAGAGGGAATTAGAACAAATGTTTAGTACTAATGAAGGATACTTAGTAACTTCTCTTACAGACTGCTACCCCTTAAGGGGTTTCAGTAAAGTCAGAACAATAACAACAACAATTAATACTAAGATACCACACAGTGTGCCCACAGGAGCACTTTAAGCTTAATATTTTTATAGGACCCTCACTAACAGTCTTTAAAAGCTTGCAGTGAAGTTACTGGGAGAAAATTTCTGTGCCTTTGTGGCTGCAGGAAACTTCAGACCTCCCAGAAGTATCAGTGTCAACAGTACTATCTAATAATGAGGTCCTCCTGAGATTTAAAGTGTGACAGCATCTTGCTCCATCAACATACTTTACTGCTTCCACCCTTCCAAAGTTCAAATATGGTACAGGCCACAGCCTTAAGGAATCTCTCCACATCATTAATTTAATTAGGAGATAAAGTCCCACAATACATTTGATATGATTTACCATCATCTATTTCAACACCTTTAAAACATTCAGCAATGCAGGGGAAAAGACTGGTTTGGAGATTTTTCTTCCCATTAAAATTTTGAATTTTAGATCCATTATGTTCAAACTGAACCTGAACAAGTTAAGAAAATTAATCTCAGACTTTAAAGACTTATATTACAGGCCTGACGCAACACAGTAAACCAGAGCCAGTAGAGCAGAAACCAGATGTTGTAAGTACTACAAGAGGTGAAGCAGACAAAACAAGGAGTTGAAGAGGAAATACATCAATCATGAAGACTCTATTATTTCAGGTAAGTATACGGCTTTTGAGTAATATTCTTACATTTGGCTGCTGCTTACTTTCCCCCCCACCAAACTCAGCATCTTCATACAACTTTAGAACTCAGTCTTGCTTGCTGTCTTGGACAGATTTACTTTTTCTGTTATATCACCTAAGCAAATGGTGCTGTAGCTCCTTCCAATTGTGGAACAGCATGGCTAACTCGGGAATCAGTCCTGACAGACATTTCCAGGACACAGACAGTGCTGTGATTTTCTTACCATTTTAAGACTGTAAACAGCACAAGTGTGTTGCTACTTCAGAAGCAGGATTTGGACCTGTCAAGGTATAAATTATGGAGAACAGAGCTATTAAATGATGAGAAAGCAGCTGTTAAAAAATTCTTTCCTGTTTGTATTAGGGCATGTGAAGCTTAAGCTGAAGTGCCTACTATGCCACATCGAGAGAGATTCACTATGCCCGACACCACTCTCCAAGGTGACTGACCAGTCAAGTTGCCAGATACTAATTTTCTGGAGTTCATTCCAGCACAGACCTAAAGAACCAACTGTTTGTGTCAGCCATGCCACACTGCTATGAAGTGCTGCAGTTCTGAAAACTCAACCTTTTCCAGCAAAACACTGTCAAGAACTTCTTGACTGGTTGAGACAAATATTTTAGATTCCTAAGAGCTGGTTAAGCTCCTCTGAAGCAACCACACTGCCTTGATTTCAGCTGCTATTCCAGAACACATTTACCTCTGGTTGGCAATTTCTATACTGTTTACACAAACCAAGACCAGGCTTTTGGAAATTCCTATTTTTTTTATTATATGACAAGTTAAGAAGGAATGGCACCAACCTGATCCACCTGGTATCCGAGTAGATCTTAGAGTATAACACAAGTTGCCAACTGATTTATATCCATAGCATCCATCATATAGGCCAATGCAGGCACATATATCATTAAGCAAAACAACCAGGACAAGTAACACCTCATGTTACACTCTTGTGGTTTTTATCATCCTATGGCTATGTCCAGATAGACAAGCTTGATAGCATTATCTCTCTTCCTGCTTTCTAGAGGACACAACCTACTCTCCCTCCTGGCATTCAGTATTACAAACTCACTGCTGATTTAGTTAGTTTACAGCCTAAAACATCATGATTTGAGTGTGGTGAGGTAGAGAAAAAAAGTTTCATTGCTGTTGTTGATCTTGCACAGGCATGAATGACTTACTGGAGTAAGTAACGGAAAGCAAATTTACTCCTAGGCATGAACAAACCCAATATGCAGCAAGAGACTGGTAAGAAGTATGTATTACATCCATTAGGTTATATGGCAAAATACCAACAGCAAAAGAAACGAAACACAAAATCTTTATAAGTCTCTCTGTATTTGCCCACGTACGTGAACTTCAAGTGTACTACATGACTTCATTATGGATTGTGACTTTGTCTAAACTCTTTTGCACTTCAACCATTCTAAGCTAATAGCATTTGCAATTCTGCTGCTATCAACTCGTGTATTTCAGTATTCCTAAACAAAAAATGGACCTCGTTTCTGAACTAGCATGAGGCTACATCATGCAGCCTTTGAGCAACCCCCATTAATTTTCATGACAGCTTTAGTAGTTTGCTCTTAGCAAGAACATGAACTAATTTACCCTTCAATTTAGAAGATTTTTATTTTTTACCTTAACTGAAGGATGAATGGAGCATGCTCAGTGTTTTACAGATACCAAGGATACTGAGCATGTGCAGCTGAGCAGCTGTTAAAAAACCCACTCAAACACACAGAGAAAATCCTACACTCTCCCATCTCCAACTCTCATTGTCTTTATGTAGCTTTTGCCAGTTTGGCTTCTGATCTATTATATTTTCCTATGTTCTCTACTTAGCATTCAGTTTTCCAGACTAGATGCTTTTTCATTCTCGGTGTAAAAAGAGGTGGAAGGAATGGGGAGGAAAGAGGGAAGAACGCAACCACCATAAGAGAACCAAATCAAAGTCCCTTCTGAATTCTTCCATGTATCAAAAAGGACATATAGTCCATCACCACATTATTGAACATCAACTTTGAGTAAAGCCATAGGTAAAGCCAAGGTAAGAGGTCTTTGAGTCATCTGTGTAATAAAGAATTATAATTTAAGATTACAGTACACAGAACTGATGGTTTTGTAAATGCAAAGGGCAGAGACTTACCAACCCACCCATTTCTACCAGAAGACCACCTGAATTTCTACCAGAAAATACCTGAAAATATATAGATTTTGCACAAAATCATGGCATCAATGTATGTCTGCGACAGACTATTCCTGCAGAAACCTTGCAACTCTGATTTCAAGCTTTATTTCAGAAATAGCAGAAACATACAGCCTCATTCGTTAATGAACATTTTCTGAATAAATATGCAAATCAGCTCAAAAACTAATTACAGGAAAGAAAGGAAGGCTCTTGTCATTACATATTACACCATAAAAATAACAACAGGAAAAAAAGAAAAAAAAAGTCATCAACGTCCAAGCCTTAAATGTGAGGCTGTGGATGGATCTCAAGGGGCCTGTTATGCCCTGACACACCTGTACAGCTCCATGCTGTGACACACAAACATTTCTCATCTCTGGAACCTGACATGCACAGTACACATTCTGCTGATTACAGCTACCTTTGGATTAACAGGCTTCTGTCGCTCTGTCTCCCTTCCAGCTCCACAGCTTCCTTCTGTACTTATCCCTTCATCTTAATCACTAATATTCTTTAAGTGTCTAATATAGAAAAGAAATACATCTGTGATAATTGCTACCTGCTGAGAAGGAGAAAATGGAAACACGTATTGCAAAATTTTTCATAGGTACAAAAGAGTATCTTTACTCTATTCCTCCACACCATTCCAAACCTGTACCCAACAAAATTATTTATGGGCTTTTCTGTTACTACTTTTATTCAAGATGGGTTTTGCTAGGGGAATTCCCCCTTTCAAAAAAAAAAAAAAGGGGAACGGGTAGTTATCATGTCTTTTGCACTGAAGAAACAAAAATTAAAACAGAACTTTATAATCACTACTTGCACCATTTCACAATGGCAGCTAAGTTAAGAGACTGCTTTTACTTTTTTATACTTCTAACCAGGGCAGGTATGGAGCTCGATAGCCCATTTTACATACCTTTCTTTTGTCTTCATCTGCTGGATCAAATATGAAAATAGTCCGATTCTGTAAAAAAAGAGTTTGCACTTGTTACATAGACATCAGCTGCTAAGTAATACCTGCAAAACTATTAGTCTGGTTAAAACCAGCCTCAGATAACGAGGCCATAACCATGTCAACTCATGTTCTTTCCCGATTCTACCCCACAGCAAGAGCTTCAGTAAGCAGCTCCAACTAACAATTTCACAATTACTACTGGTGCAGAGCAAGCCTTTATCTGTGGGCTGTGCTTCTGATGCAAGTTAACAACCTCACATATGGCACTTTACAAAGCGAAAAACATTAGCTATAGCCTTGTGTTTTACAAATACGTTATTACTCAGACTCTTCCCTGAGCAGTTCTTGTTTACAAGCTTTTGACTGCACTTTACGGTGTCTCCAACCAGAGCAACCATAGGATAATCTTGCCCGGAAAACAAACAGTACAAATCAAATAAGCCTCACTATAAAAACTATCAGTTTGGGTATTGTGGCAATTTCCAAAACACATTTGCTTGTCTGGTACAGTTAAACACATGATAGACATGGTCTAACAACTAGTACTTATTTCCTGTTAAACATTTCAAATAGAACTAGACTCAATTACTATGTTAGTATCCTGAAGTATGCTATTACTGGAAATATTACTCATATGACACAAAGTTTATTCTATCAAAGGAAACAGTAGCAATACCAGTTATTTTAATGTCTTTTTAAGACTTCCAAGCTAAATGATTAAGCATGATGAACAGCTTCTCAAAAAATCAAAATCTCAATTTCTATTATTTCTAATACACAACTTGCTACATCATGCAAGTGACCAAACCCAAAAGAAATGGCCTCCATAGCACATTAGTGGGCCCCTTACCTTTCATGACACAAGCCCACAATTACTCAGACAGGCCCTGGACATCTACCCTACCATCAAGGGTTACCAACATCAGTCAGATCCTTGAGGATGGTAGGAAAATAATTTCTCTTTGAGGGCTCCCAATAAAACTACTGACACTCAGAAGTTCAGCAAAATGCCAGCCAAAACCAGGTGAATATTAAGTGATGAGCAATTAACCAAAAGAAGGCAACCTATGCATTTGCACATGAACATTTTTTGAAATATATAAAAGAAATGTAGTGACAGTAAGAAGTCCAAGCACTGGAGGAAGAGAGATTTGGAATAATCATTGCAACAAGAGATCATAAAGCAATAAGGACAGATCTATTAGTTTATCTCATTATAGTTATTCTATAGCCACCCGCACCTTAGAACTACACTTAATCCATCCTCTCTCTTCAATTAACACATATTTAATTTATTATTTGGAAAAAACTTAAGGAAACCTCATGCCCATTCTGGGCACAGGTAAAGATCTGGAACCTGGAGCACTCTGCCCAGTCTTTGCTGGCCCACAGGCAATACATCTTAGTTAGTAACACACTGCCCAGAGAGATGCAAGAAACATTAAGGCAAACTTCTTAACAAGAAACAGAATGAGAGAAATGTCATACTGAGACAGTATGAAAAGACTCCCATCCCACTTCAAAAGAAGTATTTAGCTAACACCTAACTCCATAGCTTCATTCAAAGACTTGAAGCACTAGAATAGAAACCACACCAGCCCTCTCTGTCCTTGGGAATTCAACTTTGGCTTAAGCAATTTATCTGGGGAAGTTGCTGAGAAGGCATAAAATCCAGTACAGTAAAATAAGGAAGTGAGGTTTGTGTGCACTTCTTGACTGAATGCATTTAACAAAGGTCATTTTCAAGAGTAAAGACAGGAGATAAAAGTTTCCTTCAATCAGAATCCTTCCTCTGTACCCTAGTCGGCAGTGAGTTAAAACAGCTATAAGTGTCTAATAAATTCTAAATCTACCAATCCTTCAGAGAAAGTGCCCTGCAGCTGCATGAATCTCTGCATTTGAATTTCATGTGTACAAAGGCAGCCTATGTCAAAACTGTTGCCCAGCTTCTGCTAGAAGCTCAAGTTGGAGCGAAGATATCAGTTACTGCCATTGTTAGACCTAAAACGTAGTGCATGTAAGACAGCAAACTTCAAGCCATCTCTTGGAGGCTGAAGAATAACCACATACCAGACCACATTCATTTGGCTTTTCATCTGATCACAGAGCTAGGAATCTTTAACTAAAATCCT